GTACTTCTTGAATCCAGACAACCTGTTCCGGTCGTAATTTTGAATCTAGCACATCCTTTAGCCTCTCCAGAATGACGCGCTTTCATCGAGAGAAGACACATCGGCTGACTGGCTTGCTGAATGCTTTCACCAACCGACGTCATTTCGTCTCTCCGATTCCAGCAAGAAATAAGTTTGTTTTTTGTTTTATATTTTCTTTTTCCTTTGAAGTTTCTTTAGCGATTGGATTAGTTTTATGGGGTAAGGTTGCTAACCCTATGCCCAACCTTCCCTCTTTACTCGGGCTTAGGACCAGCTAGTAACTAGTGAACTAGTTAACCAGGCTGGGTTATATGTATATAATCTCAAAGTTATTTATATATCATACTAAATCATCTTCTACACTGCTGATTCATCAGTGATGTGAGTTTTATGATTGAAACTGATCAGGGATAATAATTGCTAATTTATGAAGAGTAATGGAATTAAAATCCAAAAAGATTATTTACTAACATAATAATGTTATATAAATAAAATTATTTATATACGAAAGTTGTATTGAGAGATAACTTGACTATATAGCAAGGATAAGCGCAGAGAGTATCATGCTATATAGTCAAGTTATCTCTCAATACAACTTTCGTATATAAATAATTTTATTTATATAACATTATTATGTTAGTAAATAATCTTTTTGGATTTTAATTCCATTACTCTTCATAAATTAGCAATTATTATCCCTGATCAGTTTCAATCATAAAACTCACATCACTGATGAATCAGCAGTGTAGAAGATGATTTAGTATGACATATAAATAACTTTGAGATTATATATATATATATATATATAATATATATATATATAACCTAGCCTGGTTAACTAGTTCACTAGTTACTAGCTGGTCCTAAGCCCGAGTAAAGAGGGAAGGTTGGGCATAGGGTTAGCAACCTTACCCCATAAAACTAATCCAATCGCTAAAGAAACTTCAAAGGAAAAAGAAAATATAAAAACAAAAAACAAACTTATTTCTTGCTGGAATCGGAGAGACGAAATGCCGTTGGTTGGTGAAAGCATTCAGCAAGCCAGTCAGCCGATGTGTCTTCTCTCGATGAAAGCGAAGGTAAACAAGGAAACATAGGATGTCCGCATAATGTTCGAACCCACCAAGGCTGCCCAGATTGCAAAGAGATGAGGAGATATGGCATGGAAGTGCTTGAAATCTGCGAAAGTAGGTGGAATAGAAGTGGACTCTTCAAACTGTCAACTGCAGAGAAATCAATAATCTACTCAGACGACAACCACGAGCACATTGAGTTATGGAGTGGCTATCATGATGTCCTCAAGAGGATCAAAGGGTCTCATGCAGTGAGAACCAATCTCCTCCACAATCAGGATCATTACAGCAAGATTCAACTCAAAAGGAAAGAAAGTCACAATCATTCAATGCTATGCACCTACAAATAATGCACATCAAGAGAAGAAGGAGGAATTCTACAAACAACTGTAGTCAGTACTGGACAAGACTCCAGTTAGTGACTTCAAAATTCCAATGGGTGACATGAATGTCAAACTCGGAGCGGACAACACAGGAAGAGAACTCATCATGCGTCGATAAGCAATCAGTGAAATGAATGAGAAAGGAGATCTGTTTGCAGAATTCTGCGCATTCAACAATTTGGTGATTGGAGGCAGTATGTACAAACACAAAAATATTCACAAAGCAACATGGACTTCACCGGACAACAGGATACACGACACTAAAATCAGATCGACTTCATCTGAATGTGAAAAAGTGGAGATGCAGCTTACTGGAGACAAGATCAAGAAGGGGAACAAATGTAGGTTTACACCACTATCTAGTGCAAGAAACCTTCAAAATCCAGTTGAAAACCTTCAGAGAAGTTGGTGATAGACTACAGTTCAAGTTCAACACCCAGAACAGAAACTGAACTGAAAAACGAAACTACAAAGAAAATCTTCACTTCAGCCATCAAGACAAAATGGGAGATATCGAGCAGCATCTCTGAAGAAACACGTCTAAATGAACACTGGAAGTCTTTGAAAGAGATGTCGAAGGAAACCTGCATAACCATTTTAGGAAGGAAGAGGAAACAAGACAAGGAATGGATCTCGACAGACACATGGAAGCTGATAGAGGAAGGGAAGGAGGAAGGTGAATCAGAAGATGAATCAGTGCAGTGCAAGGATGAACGAGGAGAAGACGAAGTGAGTACAATGTATAAAAGAGTGGACAAGGAAGTGAAGAGGAGTGCACGGAAAGACAAAAGACACTTCTATGACACAGTGGCAAGTGAAGCAGAACAGGCAGCTGGTAGGAGAGACAGAGACGTGACAACATCATATCAAATAACCAGGTTACTATCTGGGAGGGAAGAGATCAACGCAGACGAAACCAATGAAAGATAGTGAGGGAAACCCAGTTAGCACGGAGGAGAAAGAAAGGAAACGATGAGCTGACGACTTCAGAAAGCTCCTGAGTCGACCACCACCACCAGCTGCACTTCGTCTAGAAATACCACCAGCAACGGCGGAACTATCAGTGAACACAGGCCCTTCGACAAAAGCAGAATTCTTGAATGCTATAAAGCTGCTGAAATCCGGAAAGCAGCAGGACCAGATGGAATTCCACCAGAAGCACTGAAAACAGATGCAGAGACATCAGCAGCAGACGTGCTCATACCACTACTGCAGAACGTTCGGAAGGAAGGAAGAGAAGGTACTTGCTTATTGATTGGAAGAAGGGCTAACTCGTCAAACTCCAGAAGAAGGGAGACCTCAGTGTTTTCAAGAACTTTCACGGAATCATGCTGATGTCCACCTCAAGCAAAATATTATACCACATCATTCTGGAGAGGCTAAAGGATGTGCTAGATTCAAAATTACGACCGGAACAGGTTGTCTGGATTCAAGAAGTACAAATCATGTGCAGACCAAATTGCAATGCTACACTACATACCATCATAGAAGAGAGCATAGAATGGCAGTCAACTCAATTCCCTACCTCAACTTCATCGACTTTGAAAAGGCCTTCGACAGAGTCGACTGAGGCAGTTGGTTCAACACTACGCTTTCAGTGCTACAAACCTTTATCAACCTCAGTCAACAACTATATGAAGACGCCACATGCCAAGTAATTCACACTGGGAAGCTGAGTTATGCCTTTGAAGTGAAGACAGGAGGAGGACAAGGTTGCCGCCTACTATTACCGATAATCTTACTGATAGTGGTGGGTTGGACTGGATCAGGCAAGAAAATGTGAGGAGCGAGAAGATGGGCATACTCTGGACCGATGAAAAGAGCCTAGAAGATTTGGATTTCGCAGATGGTTTATGTATAATGTCTTGTGGCACAAACTAGAATATCTACAAGCGAAAACTAACAAGTTGGCAGAAGAGATAGTGTAGTGAAGACGGGACTTCGTTCAAGTGAACGTAGAGAATACAGACGTGATAAAAATACCCAACCAACCGCAACAGCGAGCACTAATCACCATTAACGGGATAAACATAAAGGAAGTTGTCTCTTTCACCTACCCACCTATCTAGGCAGCATCGTTTCAACTACAGGTGGCGCAGACGGGGATGTCAAAACCGGATGTCAAAACCGGGGTCGGAAAAGTAACACAGGTCTTCCTGCATTATTCTGAAATCAGAGTGGAGATCTACTGCACTGCACTGCACTGCGCTCAGCATAAAGCGTAAACAACATCCGGATTTTCAACACCAGTGTCAAGTCAGTGCTTCTATATGGTTCAGAAACTTGGCACGTCACGAAGAGCACTTTCAACTAACTATAGATATTCATCAACAACTGCCTACGCTGAATAATGAAGATCAGATAGATGGCCAGAAAGAATTAGCAACAAGGAACTCTGGGAACGAACCAACCAAGAATCTACTACCCAACAAATATGCAGGAGAAAGTGGAGATGAATTGGATGGGCATATACTGAGAAGGCCGATTGTGGACATCACACGTCAGGCCGTCGAGTGGAACCCAGATGGGAAACGACGAGTTGGGGTTCCAAGGCAAGGTTGACATGGAGGAGATCATGTGAGGAAGAAATGAAAGCTTGTTGGCTGACGTGGAGCCAGGTTGAAAAGATTGCAGAGAACAGAGTGGAATGGGGATGTGCTACTGAAGCCCTATGTTTCACTAGGAACCCAAGGCATAAATTATATATATATCGTTCTTTTACCTCTCTCATTCTATCTAATCATGGTCAAGAACAAGTCGAATTAGGCAATTCACAGGATAAATGATTTCTGCTACTTCTCGCATAACCCAGTCTTCGATGTGAATCAAAGAGGTTTGATAAGAAATTGTTATATGTTTATTGACACTTCCTACTCCTCATTGTTGTACCGCACGGCAGCGCTTGACTTCTGCCGGTGGATTCGCTCCTAAGCAGATATCTCCAGACTGACTGAATAACCACTGTGTTGTAGTTTGTTTCATGACTAAAAGTGGAACCTAGGAGGTGCGTTTCGTCCCATTCGAAACTCATCAGCCGTACGTACCTGCACCCTAACAAGTGACTGTATTCTCCTGAAGCTTGGACCCGGTACCCACCCCTTCAAATATCAAAGTAAAATAGCGGGGAATTACAATTATTAATCAATAATAACTGATATCCAATGCAAAAAATGTGGATCTCATGCCTCAGTGGCATGGTAGGTAACGCTTTGGCGTTTAAAGGGATGGGTTTTGGGTCCCAGATTCATTGTGAACATCATTATTCACTGAGTTGTAACTGAATCTAGATGACGAATCCTATATAGGACAAAATGAACGTCGTGAATTCCACAGTATAATTAATTGTTGTGCAATTTATTCCGGTAAAGATTACAATTATAGAGAAAGTCTTTTATTGTTTACTTAACTCTTCTTACCCTGAAACTGAAGTGCAGCTCACGAATTTAACAAAAGTTGTTGCACCAAGTACACAACATTGCATGCTGATTATTCGGTAGATAGTCTACATCGATCTGCCACGACGTTATGAAATAACTTCTGCAAATACTGATTCTTTCTGGCAAATATAAATTACCCATACCAAAGAGATGAATGCCTTCATTTCATCCCTAGAATTCCACATTAAAAGGAGTGCTCTCAAGATAACTTTATACTCGTATTGCAGACACTGAGTGAGATACAAGCATGCTGTTGCATGTCATCAGTTTGTATAAGTTTACAACTGTTGTAGACTTCAAGTTTGTATTAATCATGCAACGACATTAGTTGGAGAACCACTGACAACCACGAAGAAATCGACTACTGTTTTGTATCATCATGGGACTCCTCAAGCAGTTTGTATCCATAATACTAACAGGGATCGAACCTAGGACAATCAGATTCCCTGGTGTGATTGTGGGTTCACACTAGTGAAGAGTTTCATACTAGAATGCAATAGGTATGTAGTTTTGTCTGATTTTGAATGGTTGTTCAGGTGATGTTAGTTCGTGATGAATACCTATGTGAAGTCAATTAATCCCCATGAGCCTTGAAACTGAGTACCATATTATATTCGTTTATTTGATTTATAACACAAAGACAATGGGGAAAGAGAAAATGCCCACATCAAAAATCACTTCATTTCATCGTAAAAATTTTTAACAAATTCGTTTTAATATATATCAACTTACTTGTGCTTCGATTAATAATGACATTTGTTCAACAGATGTATTGAGAAGATTTAAATGTATCACAATTGATTGTTGTAAATGTGGATCAATTTTATTCTTACGACCACGAAATTGACAACCATGAACACTGAATGGGCAATGTAAATTTTGTTTAGAACAATCATTTTTTAAATGGGCTGTTAAAAATCCTCTTGGTATAGTAGTATTTTCACATTTATTTGGACAAGGAATTGGAAATTCTGAACAAATACTAAAATGTTTAGCTTCATTAGCAAATATAATCTTTGTTCCACAATATTGGCACTTTCTGATGCGGTTAAAACAATCATTTTCAATATGCTGTTCTAAATACTTTCGCTTTTATAAAGTTAACAAAATAACACATGATAAATAGAAATGTTGGAATATACTTTAATAACTCAGATAGTTGTTTACATTGAGCAGATAGCTTACTCACCTACTTACTGTTCATATTACCTTTAAGCGGTTTGCTAAATGTTAACGATTATATTCACGAGAGCACCTTAAGTGAAACTTAATTCACTATAGCGATCTCCTGATCTAAAAAACTTCCATTAACAACATTTCATTTTCAGCTCAGTTAAGAAAAAGATAATATAATAAGGACGAAACAGCTGTCCAGTGCTCCCAGGTTTCCTTTGTTCCTCCAACTGATGTCAGTCTTCCATGAATAACAACTTGAAATAATTTTTTTTCTTTATACACGAATAAAAATCATACATTCTCCAGGTAAGATTTTACGCTGACGAAGGATAGACTTACTTATTTATCAGCCTGTGATATTATAAAAAGCTTGATTAAATTAAGTCAAATAAGTGGCTAATTCATGAACAAAAACAATATCTTCATCATTTTTTGACTTTCTGATATAGCCGTGGTTTGGAAGACCTGTAATTATACTGGGTGATGATTGCAGGTGAAATGAAAGTTTAGACCACAGCCGGGTTCGAACCAGTGACCACCGTGTTTATTTCACTTCAATCACCAAAGATTTTGTCCGACTATCATGTGAATTCGTGACACGTTAGTACCTCTTGTTTCTATTCACACGGGTGCCTAGTCAGGACTTCTCATCCCAATCCAAATCTAACTGAATTAGAGAGAGATGGTCGCGGTTTGGCGAACTAGTATTCATACTGAGTGAGACTGAAATCTGATCAACAGTCGGACTCCGTAGCTCAGTTGGTAGAGCATAGGCGAGGAAACCCGGTGGTCGCTGGTTCGAATCCGGCCGCCGTTCAAATTTTCATTTCACCTTCAATTACCACCTAGTAACAATGCCTATATTTTATCATGCTAGTTTTTCAATACCTGTGTTATAAGACTACAGAAGGCCATTAATATGATAATAGGTGGTGAGTAACTGAAAGATATCCTGTTGAAATTAATTGCTTATTAGGGCATTAATTTATCAGTTACGTAGTCGTATGCAATTTACAATTTAATTTAGTTTATTACTATTTATCGATATACTTGTGATTCCCAGTGGCACAGTCGATAACGCCTTGGCGTTTGAAGCGATGGGTACCAGGTCCGAGCCTCAATGGGGACAACATCACTCACTAGGGTGCAGTTGCACCCAGCTGATGAGTCCCAAATAGAACGAAAAGTGAGTCCTGGAATCCGTTGCTAGCTACAACCAAGCAAATTACCTTAATGTAAGGTCGCTGAAATCGTAACATATAGTTCTAAAACTCGCTTATGAAGCTCCGATCTTCATAGCAAACGAAAGTTGCGGTCTTCATTTCTAAACAACAACAAACAAAAAGTAGTATGCATTAAAAGGAAGTTGACGACAGTGCTGCAATATTTCACTCGACTCTCGAATTTATCCCCTGAATGATGGTTTAATCCAAAAATAGTCATATTAAACATGAGAAGTGACTAAGAAACAAACTGTGTACTATGAATTTTACCATTTGCAAGGCGGTATTTTAATGTTTTCAAGAAGGTTGTCATTTAGTAATGAGACTAATGGTAAACACTGTGAATTGCTCAAGTGCTTAGCCTTACATCGCTTACAGGCTTTACAGACGAATAACATAATCATCACAGAACCCTCCGGAAGTCTGAAAAATGGTGGAAATCAATCGAGCTAAATGTTATGTATCATCGCTGTTCATGAGATTAAACCAAAATACTCTTTTTATCCTAAGAAATTCATGCATTTGCCTTCGCATAACACACATATGATTACACAAATCGACTGTTGAAGGGTAAGCATTACCATGTTCAATCTTTATATCTGGTCTAATTTGTCCATCAAAATTTTACTGATATCTGTTTAATTCAGCTTTACAAGTGGTTATCTTCTATCTGGATAACTCACTAGTGATACTTTTGAAATCCGAAGTGTGAAACGTGGATTTTAATGCACAAAATAGTAACCAGTTTCTCTGAGTTACACAAGCTTCCTCATAGTTTTTAGTAAGCCAGAAATACGGATTTTGTAGATTGCATTAGTTAACTTTGACTGTTCGGAATCAGGCAAGACTTCATTTGTACAATATTTAATGAACATTAATAAGGAGGATTTTCATCACAGATTAATCAAGCATCAATTATATACACTTCGGCATTCCTAAAAAAAACATCAGATCTTTAAAAATGATAGTTCAACTTCTGCTAAGTGTATGCATATACTACTTATTGGATATTTAGTAGTTTATAACTCAAAGAAAAATTTATTGATGTGTAACTGTCACGAGCATTTATTATTGATAATACAACTTCAGAGAAATATAAGTTAAATTTGCAATACCATTTAAATGCATTTTAATGAGTCAATGTCACAGGAAATTATATTTGAGGAAAACTATTTTATGGTAATATTTTTAATGTTCTGTTAGGCAGTCAGTGGTTGATTCGCTCTTCGAGAGGTAGTGTGAACCATGAACGGTTAGGGATGCTGTTTCTTTTCAAAGAAATAATGATATTCACATTGAACGAAGTTTTTGGGAAGATCTGGTTTCTCAAACGCACATTTTCTATCAATAGCAAATAATAATATTTAGTCATCTAGGCTACCATTAAACTGGAATGGTTCATATGAACGTGTATATTCAGTAATCATAAGAATGTGAAAGGTGGTACACTTAAGTTTGGAATTCAATAGGCAAATTAGAAACTTGATATTAAAAACTGATGGATGCTGTTCATGTACAGATAGGTATATGAAACTGGTACAGGTAATGAAAGCAATGAAAATTTTCAGCTTAATACAGTGTTCATCACCGACTGAAATCATATGGAGAACCATTAAAACGTTATACCACTGGATAGCTATTTCGTCCTATGATGGAACTCCTTAGTAGTACATATCCATGACCTCATCAGGGACTCAAATCAGGACCTACAGTTCTCGTGATAACTGCACTAATCATTCAGCCACTAATTTGGAGTTCAATGTTCGACAGTTTCTAACTTCTTTCAACTGCTGTTCAATTGACGTCAGTCTATGATGAATACTATCCCGAAATAAAATCCCCATAAACCTCAAACTAGACAATTTTTATGATAATTGTTTAAACACACAATTTTTGCTAATGGCTGATATGCATAGTTGTAGACCACTATTCATCACTGCTTGCAAACTGGATGTCATTTGAGAGTCGTCCCAGTCTAAAAAGTGTATCAACATGAGAGATAAATTCAATTTGGAAACTTTTGACGATTTAGTTGATTTTATGTTGGTATTCATTATGGACTGAATTAATCTAGTGCTCATTTGTGACTAGTTGTGAGAGGTGATTCTCAAAGTTCCAATAAGAAGTAGTGACCAGTGGGGCTAACCAGGTTGAAAATGAAGATAATTACCCAACGATAAACTTGGATGGAGGTCACACAATATTGTGAACAGACAGAGATAGGAAATATGGACCATTGGATTCCAACTCAGTGGTTTGTTGGTAACGTACTGACCATAGAACCTTTAGGTCCTAGGCTGGACCCCTGGAGGGTGGGGTCATGGGTGCGCAGTGCTGACGAGTCCCATACCAGGAAGAAACAGCTGTCCAGTGCTCCTAAGTTTCCAAGTGATGTTAGTACATGATAAATACCAACCTAAAATAAGAAATGAATGTTCTCAATCATTAAACTCGAAATGGAAGTTCATGCACTTTGAAAAACAACTAACAATCAGTGATATCATTACAACCAATATCTGATAGTACTTCCGTATTTGAAATAATGTACCATTTCATTCATATGAGGTAGTACAACTGACATCAAACAGTTAGTGTTCACAAAAACAATTGAAAAATGTATAATACTACGAAAAAAAATCACTTATGATTTACTTTTATAGTAAATCAACAACCAAAAATATTTCAATAAAAATATATCTCTACATTGACTAACCTGAATTTCTACACCACACTCCCTTGGACATTGAAGAATTTTGTATTCACACTGATTCAAATGATTGCCCAACTCATTTAAAACTCCTGTCCAAACACATCCTTGACTATGATAAGAACATTTTACACCTAATCTATCCATATGTTCTTGAAAAGCCTTATCTAGATGAACACGATCCTTTTTTAAATGTTGTTTATCAGCTGGACACTTTGAAGTATTTCTATTGAAAATAAAAATAACCTTTATAGACAAATAGAATATCAGAAACAAAGTATACTATAAATATTTAACCCTGAAATTCACCATGAATTTACATTTTAATGTGCATTTATAAATGGAATAATTATGATGCCAAAATAATTATTGTTGGTTACTATTTATTGACATACTTTTTATTCTCCGTTGTTTTGTTGAATCGAATTGTTCGACCTCTACTGGCATATGGGCTCCTATGCGGATGCCTCGATACTGCCTGAATGTTAATTATGATAAATTAGTTGGTTGTGGCTAGCAGAAGAATCCAGGACGCGCGTTTCGTCCTATTTGGGACTCGTCTGAGAATGACAAGTATGTCAATAAATAGTAATAACTACTACCCTTTGTACAAGAAGTGGCTATCGTTCCTCCGTGGCATAGTGGATAACGCTTGGCGTTTGAAGCGATGGGTACGAGGTTCAAGTCCCCGTGGGAATAACATCACTGGGGTGCAGGTACATCCAGCTGACGAGTCCCAAATAGGAAGAAACGGGCTTCCTGGATTCTTCTGCTAGACACAACCAACCAATTTATCATAATTATTGTTTGGTCAGTGGATGACACAAACTCGTATCATTAAGGAATAGTTACTTTGCTCATGGCTACAGATACAATTTCCTAATGAGTGTTACCAAGTACAAATCAAGATCAAGGGAACTCTCAGTCGATTCATGTCTAACATCGATAACCAGTATGTGTAGAAACTCTACGGCAAATACTTGACTGCTTGTATTTTTTAAAACAAATTTCATAGGTTAGTTTGAGGCTTATGGGGATTTATTTATGATGAATACTATCTTGAAATGAATAAATAAATCCGCATGAACCTCAAACTAACTTCCTTTATGGTGCTCACTAGTGAAATCCTTGCAAATGGATATCCCGAAGCCATGACCTGATCAACCAGTCGGAAGTGGAGTGGATGCCAACTGAAGACCTTAGATTATAGTCGCGCTGTATAGTGAATTGAAAGAAGTTGGAAACTGTGAACCATTGAACTTTGATCTAGTGACTGAATATCTAACGCATCCACAGTGAAACCTCACGGTCCTCAGTTCGATTCCTAGCCGGGTCGTGAGTGCATACTGCTGAGGAGTCCCATACTAGGACAAAACAGCTGTCCAGTGTTCCTAGATTTTCAATGGTTCTCCAAATGATGTCAGTTCATGATGAATTCTATCTTGAAATTTTCTAGGTGACAGAGACTAATCGCAGTATGAGTGGTCAGATATACGGTAAAGTTATTCGTTTTGTACGTTGACGTAATTATCGTGACGTGTGTTCCTTTGATAGATATTTCTTAATGAAGTTGATTTGATGATAACTGACTTTGAATACCTTGTAAAACTTCACTACCGTTCCTTACCAGTAAGCCGTTGGTTTGTTTTTTTGTCTTTCTCGAATTTGTTTCCTTCAGATTATGTAAATTGTTAAAATAAATGGAATGGAAAGAGAAACTTATTTACATGGAAATCTAATCTTAATGATTAGAATTTACCTGAATATATCTGGTACACAACCAGAACAGCATCTGTGACCACAGTCTTCAAACAAAAATGGTACACGTAGAATACGATTGCATTTAACGCATTCGTATACCTTATCCAACTTTTCTAAAAGTACAATATCTGCTTCATAGTTTGTTTTGATTTGTATGTCATCCGTTTGACTTTTAACTGTTTCCGATGATTTTGGTCTCTCATTGTCGACAGATACTTTTGTTTCCAGACAGATTTCTGCTTTGTCAGCCTTTCGTATGTCTTGATTTCTTTTACTTCCTCGATCTTCTTGTGCTGGATTCTTCTTTCTTTTGCTTTCTGAAAAACCAAACGTGAATCACAAACTAGAGAAACTTTAATTACAAGGAATATGATTTACCACATGCTAATGAAAAAGTCTGGAAAAATTTGATTCAATGAACAACAGTCGAATCACCTACGAATCATGTGAGACAAATCTCTTACAGTATTACTGAATACAGGTTATTCTGACACTTCGTGAGCCACTTCATGGCAGATTTGATATAACTAACTGTACTGTGTGATTATCTTTATTTCTATTGATAATAAAAATTTTCCATATCTCTGGTATAGATATTGGATCATTCAGATTACATGTGTTGGGTGTTGATTCGATGAACTGTACGCCCAATATGGTCTCATCAACTGATATCTTAGTTCTGAGAGTAAGTTCTGAGTCAATATTTAGCTGATTTATGACTGCTTTTAGTATCATATTGTGTCTGACCTAGACAGTCTTCAAGTTTCAGGACAAAATATAAAGACGAAAAGAAGTAGAAGCAATGAGATCACCACTATCTTAACCATATCAGATATATTTATGGATGTTGGGAAAACATGGCTTTACAAACGTTCAATCCTGCACTTAAGATGTGGTGGTAATATGATGACATATTTACTGTATTGAAATCGGAACATATCGACAATTTCCTCACACATATAAACTGAGTAGCAGGCGCAATCCGATTCAGTGACGAGGTAAAAAATGGAGAAAGAGAATTATGTATGTTGGATTGCAGGATAAAACGAGGGACAAATGGTAGTTTGGATACTACCGTCTACAGGAAACCGACATATTCTAACAGGTATCTAGACTTTAGGACATCTTATCCAATGTCATTTAAGGTGTGTTTAGTCAAATATCTGAATGATAGAGCTAGAAAACTCACTAGTAAGTTCAACTATTTAAACAAGGAATTGAAGCACATAAACATTGAAGCGTTAATAATTAATAATTATACTTTCCACTTTATGAAGCCATTCGTATGAACACGTAAGCAACGAAATAATATGAGTACGAATAATAACGATAACAAGAGTAGAAAGGAGTTCAAAGCCTCCATCGTGTCACTATAAAAGGAAGGATCATTGGAAACTTTACGTAGGATTCTCAATAAGGCTGGAATTAGAGTCGCATTTAAACATACGAACTCACTCAGTGATAAATATTTTCAGTTGGCTTAACTTTCAGATAGAACCAATTCAGCAAAATAATCTAATCTATCGAATTCCATACAATGACTATCAGGTGAAGTTTATAGATGAAACTAGTCGGTCGGAGTCAGTTAGATTCGAGGAAGATAGGAGTTTAGCTAAATATAGAATGATAGAGCCGAATAAGATGAATGATCTAGAATAAATTTCGGCTACTGTGATGCATGCGTTAACATACTATCACACAACGGGTTGGGATAAAACCATTATACTTAAGTTCAACATAACTAGATGAAGACATTGATTACTGAATGGCTATTCATCGAATCTACACCCAACATATTTAGTCGGAATGACGCTACACTTACGCCAGAGATATGGAAAATTTGTGTTACCAATAGAAACAAAGAATAAGAGGTGACATGACTGGATAACGCTATTATGTTTATGGCGCTGGGCGAGGTATCCACGTCTCTGTTGAAAGATCATCACTCACTGAAGAGGGGGATGGAACCCACCTAATGAATCTGAAACATCGTGAACTGTACTCCCTGAATCCCATTGCTACCCACCATTTGGCAAACAAGTAAAACTTGTTAACCCAAGTACACTCACAACGATGACTGGTATGCTATCCATCATATGTATAATTGCATGAAGATCATGGTGTTTATCGTAACTTTTTTTCTCATACATTCCATGGAAGATAACAATCAATTAATTTGACATTGAATGACAAGTAATCATGACTCTGAGACGATGATTACATAAAAATGGTTGGACAGGGAGATTAACTAAGTGTTTTTGACTTCATTTGTATATTTTAGATATTTCCTTGAAATCTTTAGACATCCGGGTAAAATGATTATAATATTTCTCTTAAACAATCCCTGATATTTGTATAAATATAACTTCTAGATAAAACCAACATGTTTATCCTGTATCTGTGCTTATCAATTCACCTAATATCTCTACTCCATTTATCGAAGCGATCCCTTCAGCTACAAGAAACTTATTGAGAAAACGTATGAGCACAATCCTCTATCAGTTACAAATGTTTCAATACCATAAAAACGACAACAATGAAATCTTATGACAGAACTGAAATCAAGTATGAATAGCACTCCTGTCCACAAACATTTAAAGAGCAATAAATCATAGAATTTTAAGGGATGCCTCAGCAAAATTTAAATCTTAAATGCTACCATATTGAAAACCAGCCTAATATTTTCGGTATAAGCATACATATTTTAATTTATTGTCATCAAACTTGATCTGATTACAAAACTATTATGCAGGAGTAAAACTTGGGCATTGTGGTAGATTGTAATTCCTTTTCAGGGAATATTATTACATTATTATTTACTGGTACGAACATGGACAATAGATTATGTCCAAAACGTTATCCAGTAAGTAATACTGTTTTATTGTATGACAATTCTAATAAACAGAAGTATCTTTATTTTGGTTTGAGCAGGCTAAGTTTATCTGCTTTTAAAGTTATACGTCTGACTAAATTAACTGTGAAAGGCCTTACTTTGAAGATGTTAATATAGTGAAGCATAATTTGTTAAATAAATTATTGCATTAAGAGCCTAGTATATTAAACATCAATTAAAATAAAACTGTTTACCGAAAAGCGATTACGTAGAGGTAAGGGGATGACATCAATAGGAAAGATAAAGGAAATACCCCAGTGGTAATCAGCTCAATGGGTTCTGAATATATATATATATATATATATATATATTATTATTATTATATTATTATATTATTATTATTATTATTAGTCCCTTGGGTTCCTAGTGAAACATAGGGCTTCAGTAGCACGTCTCCAGTGACCTCTGTTCTCTGAGATCTTTTGAACCTGGTTCCACGACAGCCTACAAGCTCTCATTTCCTCCTCAGTGACTCTTTAATCATTATTTGTCA